AAGGGGATCCACCAGCTTAGAGCACTTGAACGAAGGTATCTTCCACCCTTTCTGACACCCAGAGCTGGTACAATTATCCCCATTTCTCAGATGAAGAAACTGAGGCTTAGAGAAGCCCATTGATTTCATTTAGTGCATACTGCCAAGAAGGCTCGAATCGGGATTTTTTTTTTCTTCGAGTCTTGTGTCATCCAGGCTGGGCTCAAGTAATCCTCCTGCCTCAGCCTCCTGAGTAGCAGGGACTAAAGGTGCATACCACCACATCCGACTAATTTTGAAATTTTTTTGTGGAGTCTGGATCTCGCCGTTGCCAGGCTGGTCTCGAACTCCTGGGCTAAAGCAATCCACTTGCCTCGGACTCCCAAAGTGCTGGGCCTATAGGCGTAAGCCACTGTGGCCAGCCTTGGATTTGTGTCCCCGCCCGGTACCTCTTTTCCTCACTCCATTCCCTGAGCCCCCAGCTGTGGGCTGACTGCCCAGGCCCTTTATCTCTCCAACACACCACGAGTCAGAGACATCAGACTCCACATTTCTGGGCTGAACTCGACAAGGGAACCAGAAACTCCTGCTGCCAGTCCAAACAGTGTGCCCAGAAGATGGTCCAAGAATAGCTTGTGATTGAGCAGCTGCTGGCCAGAGAGGATGGGCTGGCACTGCCCAGGAAGGTCACGAGGAAGTCCTGGAGTGACTTCAGCCTTGTCCCCAGAGAACACGAGGCACTGGCATCCTCGTCTGCATGGTCCCAGTCCCTCTGTCATGGCCCACAGATGCGCACACAGTTGCTTTCTGCAGTGCAGGGGTGAAGGGGCTGATGGGAAGACAGGAAGGCAAGGCAGTGGGGACAGAGGGGACTAGGGAAGTGGTGGATCAGCGCTGGACTCTCAGACCGGAAGGGATGGCTTTGGAGTGGGCAGCCACTCAGATGTCCAACATGGCAGTGACAGTGCATTCTGTCCCCGTCCTCCCACCCACCGCCCCCCTCGCTCCAGCCCAGGAATAGCTTCTTCACGGCCGCCCATTGTGCTGCCTGAAATGCCACTGTTAGAACTTCATTTGGTTTGAATCTTCCAGAAATATCTGGCGGGGAGGGGGCAATTAAAACCAGCAACAGTGTATCCAAGACATACATTTTTGCCGAAACAAGTCAGCCTTTTTTTTTTTTTTTTTTTTTTTTTTTTTTTGAGTTGGAGTCTCACTCTGTCGCCCAGACTAGAGTGCCGTGGCCGCTCCTGGCCACCGCAGTCTCGACCCGCTGGGCTACGGTGATCCTTCCACCTCAGCCTTCCGAGTAGCCGGAACTACAGGCATACGCTACCACACCTGGCTGATTTTTTGATTTATTGTAGAGATGAGGTCTCACTGCCCAGGCGGGTCTCGAACCCGTGGACCCAGGCAATCCACCACTCACCTCACCCTCCCAAAGGCGCGGGATTACAGGCTGAGCCACCGAGCCCGGCTAACAAGTCAGTCTTTGCATGGAGATGGTTGTCCCTCTAGAGGAGGTGGCTTCTGCAGGGCAGCACCTGGAACACTAAGGGCAGGGGGTGTTCAGTGAGCCCAGCAGGACATGCACAGTGACTCGACTGGGACACTCGAGGCCCTTGGTGTGGGTCTGCCTCTGATGTGCCCCAAATGAAGTCCAGCATTCCCAGGGGGGCAAGCGTCTCTCCAGGCCAGTGTCCACCCCGTGTCTGGTGCCAGTTCCTGTGTAATGACTGGATCTTTGCAGGCACCCTGTTTGGGCATCCCGGCAAAGGTGGGTGCAGAACGGTGTGGCCTGGAGCCCTTGGAGAGCTAATTTCGCCTGGTAGCCTGGGGGGATTGGGCCCATTCACCTAGCAGAAGGTGTCCCACCTTCTCCGTGGCATCTGAGTAGCCACCTGGGGGGTTCTGCCAGCTCCCCGCTGTTCTGCGAAGTGCATCAAAGGTGATCCAAGCACCCAGAGAATCCCCAAACTTCATTTGAGACCATTATTACTATTTTGTTCTAGCCAACCTTTAAAAATAAACCATAGCTTTTCAAAATAGGCTTCGGCGACTCAGAGTCTCACCTTCCTTTCCCCTACCCAGCTGAGGGGGAAAGGAGCGTCTGCTCCTGGCTCAGGCCCGTCCAGAGGGCAAAGGAGCATCTTTCCCGATCATGGCATCGTTCCGCTCTGGCTCTCGTCCTGCCTGGCCCCCTCCTCACCTTCTCTCCTGGTTCTCACCTGGCCACCTTGGTGCATGGAGCCCGCAGCCCTAGGCTGTTGGGAAGACCCTGAGAGGGCCCCTAGCAAGGGTGTCACCAGACTCCCAAGCGCGTTTTAGTCCTTACCCACAGAGCCCTGCATGTTCAGCCCGAGAGCCATGCCCTTGTCCCTCGCTGGCTGTCCCATACTGTGTTAGTTTTTTAGGGCTGCTATAAGGAAATCCTACATACTCAGGGGCTTAAACAACAGTCATGTATTGTCTCAGCTCTGAAGGCCAAAAGTCCAAGGTGAAGGTTTGCCAGCAGGGCCAGTTCCTTCCGAGGACTGCAAGGGAGATTCTGTTCCCAGCCTCTCCTCTCTTCTGGTAGTTGATGACAATCTTTGGCGTTCTTGACCTGTGGATACATCACCCCAGTGTCCTCCTCCATGGTCACATGGCCTTCCGCCTGTGCGTCCTTGTCCAGATCTCCCTTTTATAAGGACACTGTGGACTAAGACTCCCCCCTCCAACTCCAGTGTAACCTCATCCTAACCAGTTACATCTGGAAGGACCCCGTTCTAAATCAGGCCCCATCCTGCGGTCCTGGGGTTAGGACGTCCGCATGGGAATCCGGAGGCAGGAGGCCCAACTCAGCCCCCAGCACGGACCATAAGCAAGCCCTCAGCCGGACTGTCTGTGCAGTGTGTTTCTTTCTCACGCCTCGCCTGTTTTTATCTTCTCTGTGTCTATCTGTACTTCTCTAACCAGGATCTTTACAGCCATAATGCCCATGGTAGCAGCTGGACTGATAATAGATGACCCCACACTGCAGCCTGTCCGACGACTTGTTTCCCTTGTAGGCACTGTGTGTGTTTTTGGTTTTGTTTGAGCTGTGTCCTTGGAATGGCTGCTGCGGCTACTGCTGGGGCTGGCCTGTCTTCTTTGGCCACTTGAGCTGCATGGCCGTCACCTGCGTGACTTCCCGTTGGAAGTGGGGTGTCAGGTGTGACTGCCAGTGTGCCACCCACTGTGCTCGGTCTGCACGAGCGAGGCTTTGGGATTCTCAGCTCTGTCACCGATAATTCTTTTTGTCTCTTCTGTTTCTGTCCTAAAACCACCTTGCCCATGATCCAGTAAAGAAGGTCCTTTAAGTGACGGGTCAGTAATCAACGCCCACCCACTGCAATCCCCGAGTGACGCTAACACTGTTTTTGATCTTCACGCCATAGCTTCCTAAACTGCTTTGTTTTGCCAAGCCGTGGTCAGTCACCTGTTTGCTCTCGTTTTAAAAAAAAAAGCAGAAGAGGGGATGGGTGTTTTGATTCTGTCCGTGCCGGGAGCGCTAAGTGGCTTTCCTGCTTACCTGAGTCAGGTAGAGGTGACGTGTAACCGTGATGTGCTGCTGCTGTATTTCTAGCTAGCTAATTGCTCTGATTACCCTGAGGAGAGAACTCACAAACAGCCCCAATGAAAACTGTGCCTTTGATTGCCAGTACACATAGCTTCATAGAGAAGACATCTTAGTTGCTAGGGAGAATTTCACCAGATAAACTTGGCTTGCCTTGGCTTAATGATGAAGGAACGCTTTATTCCTGGTAGAAAGTGATTGTAGGATCCAGTAACCACAGAAGAGTGAAATACTTTTCACCCAGATGTGATTAAAACGAAACTCTGCAGGTTACAGCACTACAGGAAGCTAACAGGCGGACAGAGGGAACCAAAAATAGCTATCTGAAGCTTTGGTTTCTCGGTGACTCATTCCTATTCTTACCTCCCGGGAAACATAACATAGCTATTATATTATATCTCTTACCAAGTTTAGAGCCAAGATTCAAGAGTAAGAATGAACTTGGTGACAATAGAAGGAATCCTGTTAGAGCCTGATAGTGTCGAAGGACAGTTTTAGAAAGAAATCCTCAAGGTAGGCCGACTTCAAGTTCACTGGCCAGGGTCCTTGTCTTAAGCTTACGTGCTCTCAAAGCAGATCTTGTTTTAAATGGGTTACTTGGACAAGCTTTTTGCTTGCGACTTCTACCTTTATCTTTCAGGCATCAGACTGTTCCTTCTGATCAATATGCAGCAGTCACAGCTGTTTTAAAAAGACCTCTTGGTCTGTATAAGCCATTGCTGTTTGACTGGCCTTGTATAAAATTCTATTGTACAATGATAAATTCTAAAGGCTTTCACCATTAAGTCCATTTTTGAAAGTCCAAATTGATATTTCCCAAATTCCATTCACATTCACATAATATTCAGTGTTTATTTAATCAGAGAACCATGTGTGCTCTGATTTACTTAATATATTTTTTAATTCTCTCTTTTTTTAAAAAAGTACTTTAGTCTCATCCTAAGTAGTAATGTCCATGAAATCTGGGCCACAGTTTCCTGGTTGACATTAAGTTCGTACATAGCTATTTAAACTAGAAATACTCATCTGTTTACATCAGAATCATCTCACAGTGAAAGCCACACAGCTCTTAAGTATTCCTTTCTCTGCGTCCTTGGAGTAATTAAGGAAACCCATAATTTTTTTTCAGTAGCTTTTTCTTTCCACTGGGAATGGGAAGAACCCTCAGTCGTGGCTAAGGCAGGTGATACCTATATCACATGAACTTGCATGCGTTGCCCCTGTGTGACCTCCAGGGTACCATGACCAAATAACACACAGAGTCCCTCACTGCTTTCTTAGCATAACCTAAACCCGAACCCCAAAAATTTCTCTCATGCTCCCTTCCGAGCTGGCTGCTGTATGTCCCCGGCCTTGCAAAGACTGTAAAATGCACCGCGGGGGGCCAGCTCTCATTTCTGTTTTTGTCTTTCCTTTCTAAAAGGTTTAGCTTCTTCTCCCGAGATAAGAAGCGCCTGGCCAACACGCAGAGAAATGTGCACATCCACGAGTCATTTGGACAGTGGGCCAACACCCATCGTGATGACGGTTACACGGAGCAAGGACAGGAGGCCCTGCAGCACCTGTGACCTTGGCCTCCTCTGCCCTCCAGCCTGGATGTCTACCGCCAGCGCCTGCAACCAAACCTGCAGCCCAGGGGTCGCTGCCTCCCGCCTCGGGGCAGGTGCTGCCTCAAAACTGACCTCTCAAACTGTCTGCTTTGAGGACGGACGTTGAAAAAACTGATGCCAGATTCTAAAGAAATGTTTATTTATACCCAGGGCTATCACCGTTTGTAATAGATGACTCTGATCCCTTAGGATATATATTTAATAATCCCACAACTGAGGCCAGACTTTTGCGTTAACTTCAGTAACACGAGTTTGTTTAAGCCAAATACATCACTTGCCGCTGTCACTGCCGTTTGACTTGCTTCGTATAAAATTCAACGTGTAAAGGTTTGATTATCACACTTGATACATATCGTGGGAAGCAGGGAAGGGGCAACCCTTCGTTACCTTCATGAAATCGTGATGTTGGTAGCATATTGTGCAGGACACATCCGTGGGACAGACAAGGCCTCACAAGGCCCAGGGAGCTGGCCCAATTCAGATACAAAGCAACAGAAAATACGCGTGATAGTCCTCCCACCCAGAGACTGGACACAATTTTACCAGAGCAGTTGGTGTGTTCCTGATAGCGCCTAGAGCACGGCAGTGTTCAGGGTGGCGTGCCTGGGCCCTGCTGTGAGTTCTGCAGCGCTAACCAAACAAAGTTGCTAAGGATGACATGCTGCGACATTTCTTGTGTGCATTTTTTTCCTTTTAGTATTCACTGTGTCCAATATTAGTTCCCTTCAAAGAAGACAAATATCCCAAAGCAGATTGGGAACCGGTTGTGGGAGCCTGGGCGAGGCGGGATGGCGGGTAGGGGAGATAGCAGAGCAGGGTGCTAGATGAGAAGATGAAGTAGGGACCTCGCGTCTGGCTGACTCGCAGGGCTGCAGCGGCGGATGGAGAACCAGGTGTGCTGCCTGCAGCTGGCGAGCTGGAGGCTTGCCCACGTAACACCGTCTCTCCACCCGTGGGACACCCAGGGTGCCGGGCTGGGAGCTCACAGATTGAGAACCAGCACCTCTTAGCAGCACTCAAGTATGTCTGACAGGCAGGGCCGCTTGCTACACATTCTACTCAAGTTTGCTAAGAAACCATCTGGTGAATTTGCAGGATCTAGAAAAGACTCTGTTTCCAGATTGCTGGGGGGGCGGGAATGATCAGATGGGATAATATTATTACTTTAGAGCAGTGGTTCTCAAACCCGACTGCCTATCAGATTACTAGAATTAGTCTCAAAGACTATAGAAGCTGGTATACAGAGGAATCCCTCTCCCACCTGGTCACCTTTAGTTACCCTCGCTACAGGTCACCAGTGCTGCCAGTTTCTTGGGTATCTTTCCTGAAAGTTTGTTGTTGTTGTTGTTTGGTTGTTTTGGGGGGGGCAGTTTTGAATTGGAGTCTCACTCTATTGTCCAGGCTGGAGTGCAATGGCACTTTCAAGGCCACCACAGCCCAGTCCTGCTGGGCTCATGTGATCCTTCTGCCTCAGCCTTCCAAGTAGCTAGAACCACAGGCATGCACCACCATGCCCGGCTAATTTTTGATTTTTCTTTTTTTTTTTTTTTTTTGAGTTGGAGTCTCACTCGGTCGCCCAGACTGGAGTGCAGTGACTGCTCCCGGCCACCACAGCCTCGACCTGCTGGGCTCCGGCGATCCTTCCGCCTCAGCCTTCCAAGTAGCCGGAATTACAGGCGCGCACTACCACGCCTGGCTAATTTTTTTATTTTATTGTAGAGATGAGGTCTCGCCAAGTTGCCCAGGTGGGTCTCGAACCCGTGGACTCAGGCAATCCGCTCACCTCAGCCTCCCAAAGGTGCGGGATTACAGGTTGAGCCACCGAGCCCAGCTTAATTTTTGATTTATTGTAGAGACGAGGTCTCGCCATGTTGCTCAGGCTGGTCTTGAACCCCTGGGCTCAGGCAATCCTCTCGCCTCCACCTCCCAAAGTGCTAGGATTACACACTGAAAGTTCATACACCCAATTATGTTTAAACACATACACGTGCATGTACCTTTTTTTTATTTTTGAGTGGGAGTCTCACTCTGTTACCCAGGCTGAAGGGCAGTGGCGCTGATGGCCACCGCAGCCTCTACCTACTGGGCTCAGGTGATCCTTTCACCTCAGCCTTCCAAGTAGCTGGAACCACAGGCATGTGCCACCACACCCGGCTAATTTTTTGATTTATTGTAGAGACTAGGTCTCGCCATGTTGCTCAGGCTGGTCCCGAACCCCTGAGCTCAGGTAATCCTCTTGGCTCTGCCTCCCAAAGTGCTGGGATTACAGGTTTGAGCCATGCCCGGGTCTTTCTTTTCTTTTTTTTTTTTTAAGAGACAGGGTCTCACTTTGTAGCTCAGGCTAGAGTGCAGTGGTATGATCTTACCTCACAGCAGCCTTGATCTCCTGAGCTTAAGCAATCCTCCCATATCGGCCCCACAAAGCACTGGGATTACAGGTGTGAACCACTGCACCCAGACTCTTCATTTTTTTATATAAATAGGATTATACAAGCCGGGCTGGGCTCAGCCTGTATCCCGCGCCTTTGGGAGGCTGAGGTGAGTGGATTGCCTGAGCCTGCGGGTTCGAGACCCGACTGGGCAACTTGGCGAGACCTCATCTCTACAATAAATCAAAAAATCAGCCGGGCGTGGTAGCGCATGCCTGTAATTCCGGCTACATGGAACGCTGAGGCGGAAGGATCGCTGGAGCCCAGCAGGTCGAGGCTGCGGTGGCCGGGAGCGGCCACTGCACTCCAGTCTGGGCGACAGAGTGCGACTCCAACTCAAACAAAAAAACAAAAACAAATTCACTGAAGCCGAACTCAGCCTCTGACAATGCTAGCTGGTGCACGGATGCCAAAGGGTTCCTAGGACACTCACCTAGTGGGAGAAACCTGTACTACAAGGGACCCACCCTCCAAAAGATAATTCCAGGGTTTTTTCTGGACCCCTCCTTTTGTGTCTGTGTGTGTGCTTGTATACATATATATATCACATACATGTTGTTCTGAACCTTTCTTTTTTTCACTTAAAATATCCTAGCAATAACGCTATATCAGTCCTTAAGATAGTGGTTCTCAACCCAGGGTGATTGTGTCCCCAGGAGACATTTGGCAGTCTGGAAAAATTTTTGGTTACAACTGGAAGGGAAAAGGAGAGACTGTCACCTACTGGTTAAAGGCCAAGTCAGGTGCTAAACACCCTCAATGCCCAGGCAGCCCCACAACCAACAATTGAGTCTTACAGCCAACCTCAAATGGCAGCAGTGCTGAGGCAAAGGAATCTGGTCTGTCCTACAGCTTGTATCGTCTATGAATGTTTATCCAGGCCCCCCTGATGGACAGGTAACTTCCTTTCACTCCTTTACTCTCAAAAACAGTGTTGCACACTTTCCCACACATGCAGCAATCTGCAGAGTACACAAGAAGAATGGGGGGACATATACCTTTGTCCAGTTGATGGCCACTGCCCAAGTCCCTACCAGGGGAACTGTACCACCAGGGCCTGCTGGGTGCAGTGGCTCATGTCGATAATCTCAGCACTTTGAGAGGCTGAGGTGAGAGGATTGCCTGAGCCCACGGGTTTGAGACCAGCCTGGGCAACTTGGCAAGACCTCACCTCTACAATAAATTAAAAAAAAAAAAATTAGCTGAGCATAGTGGCACATACCTGTAGTTCCAGCTACTTGTAAGGCTGAGGCAGAAGGATCACCTGAGCCCAGCAAGTCAAGGCTGCAGTGGCCATGAGCGTGCCACTGCACTCCAGCCTGAGAAACAGAGTGAGACTCCAACTCAAAAAAAAGGGCCCATAAGACATTGAGTCCAAATGTCCAGAGTTGGCATCCGAATGTGCATTTTTTAATCCATCCATGTTCTCACACTCAGAGGTGCCAGCTGTGTAAACACTGCAGCCGGATCTGTTCTCTCTCCTGATATCTCCCCACAATGCTTCCCTGATGCAGGGCAATCCTTTAGCTAAAGGACCTATGACTCTGGCCCATGACACACTTCTGGTGCCATAAAAGGGGACACTTCGTGAATGAAATGTTCGTAAAACCAGAAAGGTGTTGTTTCTACAAGGTTCTTTTCTGGACTTGGGAGGCAGTAAACTTTTGTACTGGAAATTTACAAAGGAAAGGGCATATTTTTCTAAAATTGTTCTAACAGCTGACAGTAATTCAAGACTCAGCAGGATTGTCCAGCTCCCGGTGTAACACTGCGTGACTCATACTCCCAGACAAAAGCCTAGTAATGAATGTGTGAGTCTTGGCACTAAATCACTTATTCTGCACAAAACATCTTGAATTTTAAGAATGTGAACTTTCAAAGATACAGCCATTGATACAAATGCTAACTGACCCTTTTAAAAAATCATGACCAGTGTGGTGCTTATTCAGAGACCTCAAACGTCAAGGTCAGCAGGTCCAGCTCTTGAGCAAACCAGGGGCCAATCAAGAGGGAAGGGAGAAATCAATTCATCAAAACCAGCTGAGATTCCTCCACAGATGCTGGCACTGCCTCCTCTTTGTTTTCAACTCACTCCCACTTCACCTTTCCAAAGGGGTGGAAAGACCTCCAGAGATCACAGCCCTGCAACTTGGGTTTGTAATTGTAAATGTCAGCCAGAGAAAGAAAAAAGACAGTCAGCATTTCGAGCAGGAGTGGAGTTACATTTGTTCACGAGCTGCTAGTTGCTGACCCAGATGTTCAGGCTGGCTTCTGGTAGTGAGTCTCTGGACATCCCTCTTGGATTCACTTTTCTATCCCATTTGTTATTTCCATTCAGTAAACATGGGCTGCAGATGTGAAGATGGAAAAGGTGGGACTCATTCGGATGAGATTGGGGTGCCCCCCACCTCCCGGCAGGAGTCACAGGGTAGTGCGATTATGTCACCTCTTTTTTGCCACATGATCATTTCAATAGATGGGAGAAAATCAGATTCTCCACTACCAAATGATCATTTCAATAGAAGGGAGAAAATCAGATTCCCCACTACCAAATTCAATGGAAATACTGGCTCCTTAACAAATGCTCTCTGTACAGATGCCTATTAATAACCTGTCCTAGCCGGGCTCAGTGGCTCAGCCTGTAATCCCGCACCTTTGGGAAGCTGAAATGAGTGGATTGCCTGAGCCTGCGGGTTCGAGACCTGCCTGGGCAACTTGGCGAGACCTCATCTCTACAATAAATCAAAAATTAACCGGGCGTGGTACGCATGCCTGTAGTTCCAGCTACTTGGAAGGCTGAGGTGGAAGGATCGCTGGAGTCCAGCAGGTCGAGGCTGCGGTGGCCGGGAGCGGCCACTGCACTCCAGTCTGGGCGACAGAGTGAGACTCCAACTCAAAAAAATAAATAAATAAAAATAATTTAAAAAATAACCTGTCCTTAAGGCCGGGCATGGTGGCTCAAGCCTGTAATCCCAACACTTTGGGAGGCCGAGGCGAGAGGACTGCCTGAGCCCAGGGGTTCGAGACCAGCCTGGGCAACTTGGCGAGACCTCATCTCTACAATAAATATAAAAATAAGGGTAACCCCTTTGGATCCCCTCTCACTGTGGGAGCTTCTGTCCTCTCGGTAAATAATCTTTCTTTCTTTTTTTTTTTTTTTTTTGATCTTACAAATGTTAGGCTGATTTATAAGTGCTGCTCTGGGCTGTTACACAGTTTGTTTACAATAAGGAGTTATCTAACTCTGAACATACCGTACATGGCAATTAGAAGTCGTCAAGGCAAGAGGAAACCACAACCAATACAAAATACAGAACAGGGAGGGAAATGGAGGGGAGAAAGATAGAGTTGGTTTCTTATTTGTCAAAGGAAAAGATAACTCCTCAGCAGTCTGAACAAAGGAAAGGGATACTTGGCACTGGGAGAAAAGACACCAGGATAAAAATTACATGTGTTGTGACTCCAGCTGTCCCCAATCCCCTAAGAGCAGAGAAGGACAGTTGAGGCAAACAAGCAATTCTGTAAAAATTACTTAGAAACCCTACAAATCTGATTAGAATCTAAACTTCTATTTTGCTTTAAAAATTTTTTTAATATATCAAAAGGCCTGCTTTAGTGACATGCTATTCCTACCAGAAAATAACCCCAATACCCCCTCTGTCAGTAACATGCTCAAGTTGACCAGCCAATTCTTATTTCTAAACCCTTGTGTGAGGACAAGTATATGTGCCTTTTATACCAAGGCCACAGGGATCAAGTGACTGTTAGTCACAAGTGTCACCTGGTAACTAGCCAGTGTCCACTACCTCTGTTGGTTGGGCAGGGCAGACAAACCCCAAGGTGGTAATGAGGGAATGAGCCCCAAATCACCAGCTTACCAAGAACCACTTGCCCCCACCCCCTACTCAAAAGAAGATACTCATTTCTACAGACTATCTGTTCAAGGTTGGCTCCCTGTGACCTAATAGTTTTCTCCTTTAGAAACACAAACATAATCCATACAACCATATGTAATTTTTTTGTTTTTACATTTAAATATAAAAATACTACTCTGCTTTGTGTGATATTGGAGGACCGAGCACTAAGAACTTTTTCTTCTTTAAGGTAGGGAGCTCCATCCATGTATGCACTGAGCTTTGTATTTAGGCCTTGAGCTCCAGCAAAAGAAGCCCAACAGAGACCAAGGGTATTTTCTCCCCTGATCCAAGCTGGGCATGGTAGCATGCCACTGCACTGCAGCCTGGGTGACAGAGTGAGGCTTCAACTAAAAAAAAAAAAATAATAACCTGTCCTTGTGATGAGGATGATAAATTCGTAATGTCGACTTGAACCTAGGTTCCAGAATGGAGAGAAAACGGTTCTAAACCCCATTATAACCATTAAGTTTTATTCAACCATCAGACTTAACACTGCATAGAGACATTACCCTCTGCTTTTACATGCGCTGGATCGTCGTCACCGCGGGGTTGCTGCTGGGCCTCTACTTGCTCCTGTCCCTCTTCTCCCTCCCCTTGGCCCTATCATCTCTGAAGTCCCTGTCTCTTTCCCAGTCATTTTCGGGCCACGCCCTGGCCGGCTCCCTTTCTTGCCATCTCTTCTCCCGGCCCCTGTCATGGTCTCGGTCCCTTGTCCTCGAGTCCCAGTGCCTTTCTCGGGATCGAGATCGCTCCCTCCGTTCCCTTTTCCCCTCTCTATAAAAGTCACTCTTGACAACCGGCAAGTTAATAGGTTTTCGAAAAGGCCGATCCCGTCCCCCAAATCTCAGTTGTCCAGATTCCTTTTTCCCCCCGAGACCACCTCCAAGTCGCCGAGGGATCCACCCTTTGAGAGTTCTTTCCAGCTCGTAGTCCACAAATATCTCATGCTGGTCAATGACCAGGCCATCTGCATCTCGGTAAGCTTTGATCACAGCCCGCTCCTCTTTGTATTCTATGAAGGCGTAGCCCTTTGAAAAGCCCGTGACCAAGTCCCTCACCAGCCGAAGTCGCCGGATGTCACCATAGCGGGAAAAGACTTCCTTTAATTTGTCCTCCTTGGTCTGCAAATTTAGTCTTGCCACAAACAGGGTGAGGAGGGGGTCTCCTGTGACGCCTTTGTTGGGGACATAGCGTGCCAGCATTGCCCTCCAGACGGCACGATCGTGTGGGTCTTCGTCGGTGCCATCAATACTGCCTGCTTTGAGTGGGTCATACTCCTTGGCGATGGGCATCCAATCGTTCATGTTCTAAGAATGATAACAGCAAGGATGTATGGAGCGTCTGTGTGAGCCACGTGACAACCCCATGAAGCAGGTACTGTGAGTCACCCCTTCCTGAAGATCCCAAGGTCTCAGGCTTCCCAGCTAGTAAGTGGGGGAGATGGTATCAGAGCCAGGCAGTTGGGCTCTGGGGAAGCCCTTACCTACCCCCCATGTGCCCTCTCAGGAAAGAGGGCAGCACACTTGGGTTTCATTCACACATGCACTACCCGGCTTAGCCAAGGTAGGGTGTTTACCAACTAACTACATTATAACATGGCAACATGGATCAAAATCCAGGCTGACCTTTCAGAGACTTTAAAATAGCTGGGCGTGGTGGCTCACGCCTGTAGTCCCTGCACTTTGGGAGGCAGAGGCGCGAGAATTGCCTGAGCCCGCGGGTTCAAGATTCATCCGGGCAACTTGGTGAAACTTCGTCTCTTCAATACATTTTTAAAAATTAGCCAGGCGTGGTAGCATACCCCTGTAGTTCTAGCTACTTGGAAGGCTGAGGCAGAAAGACTGCCAGAGCCCAGCAGGTTGAGGCTGTGGTGGCCAGGAATGTGCCACTGCACTCTAACCTGGGTGACAGAGTGAGATTCCAACTCGAAAAACAAACAAACAAAAAAAAACAGCTATAAGGGAAAATCGTGATTTGAATGCAGCATTTTGCAGTAAACAGACCAAAACTAAGGTGACCCAGCAGCAGGTGCTTTGGATCAAAAGAAATCTGGGCTTTCTTCTCAACTCCCTGTAGCTGATAAGCCCTTTACATCTTGGAGCACAAGAAGTTACTGCAATGGTAATTTTCGCCCAGCAAGCACACTCCAGTTGTCATTCCTTCTGATCCGTAATAATTAATTCATGTGAATCTTTGCTGGAATAATAAAGGACGCACACTGTGGTTGTCATTCATTCTGATACATGATAATTAATTCATGTGAGTCTTTGCTGGAATAATACAGCGCTTGCTACCATTTCAGACCCAGCTAATGCTCATATGATCAACTCTAGAAATTTAGAATCATCCGGGCTCGGTGGCTCAGCCTGTAATCCTGCGCCTTGGGAGGCTGAGGTGAGTGGCTTGCCTGAGCCCGGGGGTTCGAGATCCGCCTGGGCAAGTTGGCGAGACCTCATCTCTACCATAAATCAAAAAATTAGCTGGGTGTGGTAGCGCGTGCCTGTAATTCCGGCTACTTGGAAGGTAGAGGCGGAAGGATCGCCGGAGCCCAGCGGGTCGAGGCTGAGGTGGCCAGGGGCGTGCCTCTGGACTCCAGCCTGGGCGACAGAGTGAGACTCCAACTCAAAAAAAAAGAATCGATGCTGAAATGTTACTTAAAAACCAGGGCTCTGTGAAATATACAGCATCTCTCCATAACACTTTCTTTCTTTCTTTCTTTCTTTCTTTCTTTCTTTCTTTTTTAGTTGGAGTCTCACTCTGTCGCCCAGACTGGAGTCCAGAGGCACGCCCCTGGCCACCTCAGCCTCGACCCGCTGGGCTCTGGCGATCCTTCCGCCTCAGCCTTCCGAGTAGCTGGAACTACAGGCACGCACCACCATGCCTGGATTATTTTTTGATTTATTGTAGAGATGAGGTCTCACCAAGTTGCCCAGGCGGGTCTCG